ATATATATATATATATGAATCCTCGTTTGGAGAAGGGGTCTGGAATTATGTAAGGGTATAGGTGTTTCTTTTTAAGGTTAATGTAAAAAGTTTAAAGTGCAGCTTCTTAGCATGGTATACCAAGTTGAGTGATTTTCTCAGAATTTGGTAATGTTACAAACTGGAAAACATTGTCAGTTTAAATTCATAAGGACGTAAGAGAAACCCCAATACGTTATCTACGGACAGCAGTATTTGTCACGATAATTAGAGCAAATTACTCAGAAAAATATTGGAATATTTAATATCAAAGATGCATTTAGGCCTAAGATCTAAATTTAAAATAATGAATAAAATAATGTGTTTAAGTATATAGAGAAAGTGTACACTGTACAGTACTAGTTTTTTGTACTTTAAGTTTGGTAAAAAATGAAGGTGATTGTGTGTGTGTGTGTGTGCGTGTGCGTGCCTACCTTGTTATATATTTCAGGATTTTTTTTTTTTAATCCTTTTATGTAAACTTTTTCCTTATGTGTCACAGGCACTGCTACATCAACTTAAATGGGTTGTGAAATAGAATTGAAATAGTGCTAAGAGAATAACATCTTAAAGAATGCATTTTCAATAACTGATGGTTTTGGGGTAGGATTGAGTGAGAAATATGGTTTTTTTCTTTTTCCCAACTCTGAGCAAAGTATATCTTTGTTTAGATACACTTCCTGGAAGAGAAATGTACTGTCATTTGAGAAAGGCATTCTGGGTTGCTGTAGGAAGCAGTTGAAACTGATGGTTATCTTTTATTGTTTCAAATATATTTGTGAGCTCTGTCTTTTACAAGAAAAATATTTTCTTTATTTATACCCTGTAGCCATATAGTATGATAGACAAGAATACTAACTCCAGATGATTTAGCACTCACATATTTGCAAGTTAAGGGTTATCAAACTCATATATCACTACTGGGGTAGAGAAGGGAACCCTCTTTGTAAAAGTGATACATTTTTCTTTAGAGGAAACAAAATTGTATATTTTTGTCTTTTGTTTATTAACTGGTATATGGTGACTTCTATTGGGGGTGGGGAATGGAGTTAGGTAGAAGATCTCTCTAAGAAATAAACCCTTCTAGGTTTAGAAATGAGAAGTGTCTTAACTGCCAAAGCCAAATCATTTTTTATGGTAAAATAGTTTAATATAACTTTTTTTCTTTTGACTTTGATTTAGTGTTGCCTGCGTTTGGGCCTAAAAATACTTGTTACATCGAGGGTACAAGAATGTACATATCACTTAAATAGAAAGGAAGCCTCGGTATAGCAATTTAATTTAACTTTGTAATCTAAATATTCATTGTGAATGGTTTTGCTGCTATCATGATAAAGTTCTTATTTTCTCATTTAAGGCAAAAGTTAAAATAATTTGATATTAGTGTTTTCCTTTACTTTTTATTTGATGACACAAACTAAATTTACACTGTTAATATGTGGATGAATGTGGAGTTTGTATCTAACCTCCAAGCCATATAAACTCTGTTGCTATTTTTTAGCAAGTGGTGATGGCAAATTTTGTAAACCCATTCCTAAACCTTCTAAGCCAAAAGTATATACATCATACTGTTTAAAAGTTATTTGAAACCTGGACATGTTGTACACAAAACTAAATAATATTGTGGTGGCTTTTGGACTGGCATAAATTTAGTAATTTCCTAAAAAATTATGTGATGACCCCCCTCCCCCAAGAATATAAGCCCCATGAGGAGGTGGATTTTTGTGTGTTTTGTCCATTTTTGCCTGACACGTGGTAGGTTCTTATTACATATTTACTGAATGTACAAATTTTAAATGGGTAATTCAGGCTCTACTCTTCTTTTCCTTTGGGAACAAGAGATTTTTGCAGTCTTATTAGTATTATTCTTTCCTACCTTCAGGTGACTTGATGGAAGGTGAGCTCTACTCTGCACTCAAAGAAGAAGAAGCATCTGAATCTGTTTCTAGTACCAATTTCAGTGGTGAAATGCACTTCTATGAGCTTGTAGAAGACACAAAAGATGGCATCTGGCTGGTTCAGGTATCAGAAACAGTGATAGAAGTGAATTTATTTTTACCAAAATAGTATTCACCAGCTGGTAACACTTCTATGTACACTTATGTCATGGTTCTTAGACATAACTCAGTTCTCATAGGGAAGCTCCAGTGTCCTCTTAAAGAGATTTTGCAGACCAGGGAAAATGAAAATTGAAGAGTGGGGGAAGGGAAGTGTTGGGGAAAGAGGATCAATTGTTTAGAATCAGCAGAAGTAAATCCCTTTTTAGTTGTTGGATCTTCATCAAAGTAAGAAGCACACATACATATTTCTTTTATTTAGTGATATGAGCTATTTCCCTCAATTTTTGTTAACTCCAGTTTTTAATTCAGTGATCCAAATAATTGTTGTATCTAAAAGAAGAACCCTAAAGTAAAAGTAAAGGAATCCTTCCACAGGATGATAGCCGACTTTGTGACTATACAGGAAGAGCTATTATAGGAAATAGTGGTGGTTGCTCATTACTTTGCTTATGAAATTAGTGAGATTATAATTTTAAACCCTAGCTCTTATCAAAACTATGAGATTTAATTAGCATATTAGAATTTTAGAGCTCTGAAGGACTTTAAGAGTCTCTTATGCTTCCCGAAGTGTAGTTTATGTACCACTCATGGTGAATGAGTGGGCATACATGAACATTTGTGTATTTTAATGTAAATTAGAAAAATCAGTATATTGAATATGTAATTTCATAAATATTGTTTAGGGTAAGCCTAAAGTTATTCAGATTTTTTAAAATGTAAGTTTACTTAAAGTAACAAAAATATCAAGTAAATTAATGTGTGAATTCAGCTAAAATAGTAATTATTGAACCAGGGTCAAATCCCAGGTCCCCTCATTTCCTGTCCAGTACTCTTAAAATTTCATACTGGGGTTGGCAAAGTTTGATTTAGGGTATAAAAATCAAAATAGCTGTTGCTTCATATTTCCTTCAATATGAGATAGTGACTGCAAAATGTGGTAGAAATGTGAGTTCAGAGACCTTAGTTGCAGCTCTGGTCTATTGCTATTTGCATTATGATTGTAAATAGATTCTCCATTACACATGGCCTTAAATAAATAAATAAATATATATATATATACACACATATATATACACACATACACATATATATATATATCTAAAGAGAATGGGACAATGCTTGGGTAACTGGGCTAAAGAGTTAAGGTTTGGAAATTCCTCAGGTGATTGGATTGGATATCTATGACTTTTCCTTGCCACCTTGCTAGTGTGTTTGACCTATTATCCTCAGATATCTAAGTCAGTAATTTTTTAAATTAATTTATTTTCCACTTAGAGTTGACAGACATATAGTGTAACATTAGTTTCAGGTGTGAAACATAGTGATGACATTTATGTACCTTATAAAATGATCATCCCAATAAATCTACCCATCTTATGACATACATAGTTACAATATTATTGACTGTATTCTCTATGCTGTACTTTATATCCCTGTGATTGTTTTTATAACTGGCAATTTGTACTTCTTAATGTCTTTCACCTTTTCCACCTATCTCCCCAATTCCCCTTTCAACTGGCAACTTACCGATTTCTTCTCTATAGGTATGAGTTTGTTTCTGTTTTGTTTGTTCATTTATTTTATTAGATTTCACATAATACCATCTAGGTCCAATCATATTGTCACAATTCATTTTTTTTTAGGCCAAGTAATATTCCATTGTATATATGTACCACATCTTTTTAATCCAGTCATCAGTGAACACTTAGGTTGCTTCCATATCTTGGCTTTTGTAAATAATGCTGCAATAAACATAGGGGTGTGTGTATCTTTTTGAATTAGTGTTTTGGATTTCTTCCGATAAATACCCAAAAGTAGAATTGCTGGGTCATATGGTAGTTCTATTTTTAATTGTTTGAGGAACCTCCATACTGTTTGCCATAGTGGCTGCACCAATTTACAGTCTCACCAACAGTGTACATGGGTTCCCTTTTCTCCACATATTGTCCAACACTTGTTTGTTGATTTATTGATGATAGCCATTCTTACAGGTATGAGGTGATATTGTGGTTTTGATTTGTTTGTTCATTTATTTAGTGATTAGTGATGTTGAGCATCTTTTCATATGTCTGTTGGTCATCTGTATGTCCTCTTTGGAGAAATGTCTATTCAGGTCCTCTGCCCATTTTTAATCAGATTATTTGGTTTTTCTTAGTGTTAAAGTTGTATGAGTTCTTTATTTATTTCAGATATTAATCCCTTATCAGATGTATCACTTGCGAATATCTTCTCCCATTCAATAGGTTGTCTTATCATTTTGTTGGTAGTTTCCTTCTCTCTGAAAAATCCTTTTCGTTTGATAATCCCATTTGTTTATTTTTTCTTCTGCCCAAGGAGACATGTCCAAAAAATATTACTAAGAGGAGTGTCAAAGAGTTTACTGCCTATGTTTTCTTCTAGAAGTTTTGTGGCTTCAGGTCTTACCTTTAAGTCTCTAATCCATTTTGAGATTATTTGGATATATGGTATAAGGAAGTATCTAGTTTCTATTTTTTTTTTTTTTTTTGCATGTATTTGTCCAGGTTTCCCAACACCATTTATTAAAAAGACTTTCTTTACTCCATTGTATATCTTGCCTCCTTTGTCATAGATTAATTGACCATATAGGCATGGGTTTATTTCTGTGTTCTCTATTCTGTTCCAGTGATGTATGTGTTTATTTTTATGCCAGTACCATCCTGTTTTGATTACTATAGCCTTGTAGTATAGTTTGATATTAAGCTTGCGTGATACCTCCTACTTTTTTCTTTCTCAAGATTGCTTTGGCTATTCGGGGTCTTTTGTGATTCCATATACATTTTAAGATTATTTGTTTTAGTTCTGTGAAAAATGCCATTGATATTTTGATAGGGATCGCGTTGACTCTGTAGATATTTTTGAAATTTAGTAATTTTTAAATTCCGCAAAGGGAGAACCTAGGAGATATAGTCTGTACCTTATCCATCAAATTCTAGTTTCTTTTCGTGTCAGTTATTTGGTATTGAAAAATAAACTGTAGCATCTTTAAAGCTTTAATTTATAAGTAAATTGTTATACCATTTCTTTTCCCAGATATTTATTTCTGATAATCTGATCAAGAAAGACTTACTTGTTTCAACAATTTTAGTTTTATTACTGAGATTGAGTTGAATAGCCAGTCCCACTGCCCTGTATTCTGTGTTGAAATGTTTGTCCACACATTGAATGATCTCTAGAGATGAATGTTAAAGATGCTAAGCACCTTCTAAGTTTGGAAAAACTGTCAAAAGTCTGATTTATAGAGTGCTACCTATAGAAAATAAACACATTTGGTTCACTAATTAGCAATATATTCTTGGCTTATGAATGATCTACTATTTTTTGATGTACCATTCAAGGTAACCATGGATTTAACTCCCTTATGTGCCAAAATTCAGACAGTTTATTCAGCAGATAAATATATACCGAACCCTGGAGATATACCAGGAACATACACCAGGCTAGGTCATTGCTCTCTCAGGCAGCTCACATTTCATTTGGGAGAGGTAGGCACTAAATAAATAAATATTTAATATAGCATCAGTTAGTGGAAAGTGCAAAGAAGAAAAATAAGCTAGGCAAATTAGGGTAAGGAGACAGAATGGCAAGGAATTTTCTGTTAAGGTGTTGCTTGAAGTGAAGAACAAATAATGAATGATAGTGAATGTTAGCATTGTAAATTCTAATCACTAAACTATTTTTCTCAAAATATTTTTTAAACCTCATAGGTATTAATAGTTGAAAAATGACTCCTAAGAAAAATGGCATGTATTTATATAATTTTCTGTGTGTTAATGGCCCAGCAGAACACACACACTTAATTTTTCCAGTGACCTTCAAGATCACCACTGTCCAGCTTGTATTATTTGGGACTAGTGACTTACGTCTGTCAATGGCTGGCTTGGGTTGGAAGAGCAGTCTCAGGCAGGACGATTGAGAAGACTGAGATTGAAACCCTTTTCTCGGCACTCTGAACTCACCAGCCAACCTAATCAGCACAGACATTTTGTTTTCACTTCTAAAAGAGGGCTTTTTTTTCTTTTTTTCTTTTTAAATTAAAAGTATCTGCTATAAACAGAAGAGAAATATTCTCTTGGTTGCTTTTCATTCTTTCAACTCAGGTCATGTTTATCTAATCTTGTAAAAAATAGCTTTCAAGAATTAGTTTTCAACAATTTGAATTATTCTTTTCTAATTGTTATTTTAAAAGAAGCCGACTAATTTTAGTTTGTTCTATCATTTTTTTTAATCCATGAGGGTACATAAATCCCAGCCAATTCAGTCCTCTTCAGATTGCCTTTATTTTAAGTATCCTGTGTAAGAAATATTTAAGCACATCCAAGTTCTTTTTTTCCTTCCAGTTTCTAACATCGTTTCCTTACTCAGATGAATTATAGTTTCCTTTTGTATTTATTGAGAAAAAATGTAGTTAGGTGGCATATAACTGATAATTAGCACTTTAGACTTCAGATGTCATTTTACTGAAAGGATATCTGGATTTACTTAGGGAAAACATGACTTTAATAAATGGGTATATGACGTAGGTATTCCATTATTTGGTCAGTTCATTATTTTTCTGAAATGGATTGATTGGCAATCTGGGTTGATTATCTTTTTTGGTGACACTACATGTGGAATGACACTATGAAAGGAAAAATGAATGTCTAATTCAATCTATATTCCTTATGATTTCTGTCTTCTCTACAACTCATGAGTTTATTTTCTGCATAATACATATTAATGATCTTTATATTTTTCTCCTCTTGTTTGAAGATGTATTAGTGCTCATGAATTATCCTGATAAAAGTACTCTATCCTGATAGAGTACTAGGATACTCATTTTCATGTCAAGCTTTTCTATGTCTATTCTGCAATCTCTATAATATAAGGTAGAAAAAACTAATAGCTCTTTTTTCTAATGGTCCTTTGTAACATTCTAAGTTTTCCTGCTTGGTTATATTCTTCATTAGCTATTTATATTCCAGTTTTGTGGATGCCTTGATTCTGCTGCCACCCAATCATCTTAGCATCACAAACAGAAGACACTTTTCTTTCAGAAGACTCTTAGGCAAATAGAACAGTGGATAGTCTTCTGAAATAGAAAAAATTGCATACTTTATTGGTTTTATGGATTTATCCTTAACATTTTTATCTCTCTATGACTTTTTTTCAAAGAATTCAAAGAAGGACAATGATATTTGTTCCCTACTGGCTTTGTCACATCATAAGGAATTTAACATCACTAGAATTGAGATAGCAGTGAAAGTATCACATTAAAGTAAAGCTTTGGGTCTGTATTTACTGAAATATTATGTTAATGTATTTCCTGTTTGGCTGAAAGGAGTTAATAGTTGTTTTAAATTTGTTCATCTTTGTTCCCAGACAGTAGCTTTGCCCAGGGAGATTCTAACCTATTCATTCCTTTCTTGACAGTACTCTAAAGACAACATCCATGGCAAGCCACTTTATCCTTTATTTCGTATTGGTGAAAAACTTTTGTGTTTACTCAGAAAGGAAGTTCGTGGAAATACCAAAGAAATAATTCAATGCCATTGAGTTTTGTTTTTGTTGATCACTCGTCCTCACTTTTAATGATTTCATGCAATTTGCATGTATACATTTAGGTTTGACTGTGATTTTCAAAGTGGAAACTCCCTGTTACAACAAAATGTTGAGATATGTAGAAAATACAGCATAGCACTCCTGTCCTATGAGGTTATGTTAGCCTAGATGTTGTTGTATGGGGATTAACAATATTAAAAGGAATATGCCAAATGTTCTCATTAATAAAACCTACCTTTAAAACATAGGCAAAAATGTGTGGTGTTTTTTTATACCAATGTAATGCCTGTAGTACATGTGGAAGGGACTACATGTACTACATGTAGGTAACCTGAGGCCCAGTTTTTCTTTGTAAGTTTAACTGGGCTACACAAGATTAACATCAGGAAATATAGGCACTTGGCATAACATGACAACCCAGTTCCATCTAGTGATGTGCTGGAGCCAGCTCATGAAGGGCAACTGCTTCATGAAGGGCAATTGTTAACCCTCTTTCCAACTCTACATTTAGAGATGTCCTGTTGCTAACTTGAAGTTGGCTATCCGGGAGTATTTACACTAAGGAAATCAGCAAATCAGAGCTTTTTTTTTTTCTGGAGAGCTAGTTGTTAAACCAGCAATCCACTGGTTTCACCCATTCATCCAACTATCTAACAAATATTTATTGAGATCTAATGGATGTCTTCTGACCCTTGTGTTAAGCACCGAGGGCACAAAGACAAATAACTCGTCATCTGTGCCATAAAACAGCTTACAGTTTGGTTTACTAAAATATGTAGGCCAGTAAAAATCGTAGTATATGATTGTCTTTCCCAGCTAAATCAGGTGGTCCATGATGCTAGCATTTTGAGAGATCTTAAAGAAGTCTATTAGACAGTGAAGTGGAACCTAAGGAAATTGCACTGGTTTTTTTTCTGGAAAAAGAGTATCTTAAATATACTGGATTGAAAGTTTATGTCTGACGGGTTAAAAACATTGATGTGCAATTGCGTAGCAAGGTACTATTTATGCTAATGTTTGTCCAAAACCTTCCAGATGACAAGTTGCTGGGGAAGAACTTTTTATTATAACAGTAATCAAAAACTTGGGGTCTTTAGAAAATATGTACAATCGGAAGTAGAAGAGTTACTAAACCATAAAAAGCTGAAATGCTTTGGTTCAACATAAATATTTAATGAGTACCCAAATGAGTTAGGCTAGCACCACTAGACTAGCTGTTGGAAGTACAGTGGTGAGCAAGTGTTGGGATGCCAGTTAGAGACAGATACCTTGGGGAAGGGATAGAAAGATTGCTTCATTTCTAACTTGTGTTGCCAAGTCTGTCCCAGACTTGGGAACTCAGGCTGTGCTTTTATCTAATTTTTTTCTAGTCTCTGAAAATATTCTCCACAGAGAACATAAAAATCCTTCCTGAGCTGCCTAGGAGTTTGCCTCTTCTCTTACAAGAACAGCAGTGTGAATGCCTCTCAAAACCTCGGCATACTTTTGAGTATAAGCTATAAATTGGGAACTTTTGCTGGTGTGACACAGTAATAATAGGCTTAGAGTATTTTGTTGTGCCATGTGACTCAGCCAGATGAGTTATTTTGTGAAAATATTAACATTTTTAGTGATTGTTTAATTCAGCCTCCACCAAATTTAATTTATGCTGAACCTTCAATTGAATAATTATTTAGGACATTGGGCAAAGTAGCTTCTAATTGTGGAAACATAACTGTAGAGTCAAAAAAAAAAATGCTTTCTTGAAATGCCTGGGGGACTTTTCAGTTTTTGTGGCTCTCTCAGTCAGGGATCATTAAACTCTTCAAAAGTGGGAACAGCTTGCTAAATAAATAAGTCTCTGGAGTTAAACATTGTCATGTACTTGCCCCAGGGGTGTTCCCACCTCTCTTCACATGCTTCTGTTGTCTGTGCTGTAACTTGGGTGTCTGTGAACAAGCCCCTCTCATTCCAACTACTTTTTCTGGCATTGGAGCTCTTATAAGTCTGAAAGATACCTGTGCAGTGAACGGGATCTTCACTGGAAGATGCCCCTAGACTTAGGGCCATATCTTATATAGATTAAAGCAACCTCTTGATTAATCCCTTGATGCAGTATCATCGAAACATATACCTGAAATGTATGGGTTATTTGCAATCTTGATTAGGAAATGGGAGTGAAAGAGAGTTCTTGTGAAAAGAAGGCAGAACAGGAAGTATGGTGATAGGATTGCACAGAGACTTCTTAATCCTGATTGATCTGAAAAGTTCACGATTTCTTTGGTTACTTGATAGAAGACCTACTGTATTGACTACTGTGTTTCGTTGTTTGGGGCAGGTGGGGGGGCGGGGAGAGAAAAATGCCTGCCTTGCTAGATCTCTCTTATTCTTCAAGTAAAATTGATGCAGCACTTTTAGACCACTGAAAAATGTGGAAGCTAGGGACCTATTGTGTAATGTAACCAATGTGGACCTACTGGCAGAAGGAGTTTTCATCTATTAAGATAGTGTCCTCAAATTGCCCTCTTCCTGGTTATCTCAACTATCTAGGCATTTGAATAATAACTTGTGTCTCAATAAGGACATTTATTTTCACTAAAAAGTACTATAGAAACCATTTATTTAGTGTCCCAAATTGTGTGTGTGCGTGTATTTATTAAGCATGTTAAAATTATGTTACAAAATGTTACATATGCACGTATGTCTTTTTAAGTAATGAGGATGATAATATCAACGGTATATGGCAGAGATTACTGGACACATAAAGTGCCACTTGTCACCACCATGTGCTCTCTCTCCTGCTGCCCTTGAAATCTGTTAGACTTTGGCAGAGGGGCCACAGATAAGGTAGCTGTACCATCTCCTGCTTCTTCCAGGTTATTGACTATTGGCACTCATTTTACACACAACCCTGGGATTTCACTTCCTAGAGGCTTTTTTTTTCCTCGCAGAAGGATTAGAGGCCCCCAGGATATTGTGTTGTAATTTTGAATTAGTATGAATAATCTAGCATTTATTAAAAAAAAAAAAAAAACCGGGCCTGTATGCCCTGTGCTTAAATCAAACATGTTTTCATGAAGACATTTTTTGATTTTCCTTTAAGTTCCCACTTAGTTATTTTTGTT